CTGTTCCATAGTAACACCCCATTGTCTTTTACAGAAATCTCCTCCTCAAAGGCACCACCGACCAAAGCCAAGAATGAGGTGAGTAGAGGCTGAGCCTTGGAGCTTACTTGCACAGGTAGTAAATGTTTATAAAACCCAAAATGCAGGGCAGGGTGTGCATGTTCTGCAGTGGCGCTCTAAAGATAGAGATCTAACGGGGGGACAGAGAAAAGCTGACTGACGGTCTTGTGGGAGAAGCTAGCAGGCTGGCTAGTTTCTCAGGTCATTTCCATCCTTCTCTCTACAACTAGACCAAGAAAGAGAAACAGGGGGGAAAATGTATTAGGGTCTATGAAACTGCTGTCACAATGAGACCCAAAGAGCCAGTGGCTTTTTTTAAATGAGTGTTTGTTCTTCTATTAACAGTCCAGAAGTGCGAGTCTGAGCTCTGTGAGTCCATTCAGGGCCCCACAGTCTTCCCACATGGTTGCTCCACCGTCCAGGTTCTCATGTCCATAGTTGGCATATGAGTCATTTGCTGGTGGAAAGTGAGGAGTCTAGACATTTGGTCAAGGGTGAAAGTTGAAAATGGGAAAGAGTGGAGAGAGAGAGAGAGAATACACCAAATTACTACATGCGATTCTAAGGGGTCTAAGTGGTTTGTGCTCAGCTTCTGACCCCCCCCCCCAGTAGAACACATCAGAAGAAAAGGCCTAGCAATCTGTTGTTAAGATCAGAGCCAAGAAAACCCTATGAAGCAGTTCTGTGCTGCAGTCCACGGGTTGTCTGGAGTCAAAATGAACTTGATGTGACTAACAACTACAACAATCTCATGATCTTTTACATCAACTCTGAATTTTAACAAAAAGAATGATTCACACCTTGGTTTTGTTTTGTTGTTGTTGTTGTTGTTGTTGTTGTTACTGCTGCTGCTGCTAGGTCCCATCGAGTCAAGTACGTCTCATAGCAACCCTATGAACAAAAGATCTGAACCTTGTTCAGTCCTGTGCCGTCCCAGAGGCAGTTTCTTTGGCAGTTCGAATCCACCAGTCACTCTGCAGGAGAGGCTGGACCATTCCCCCACCACCACCACCTCGCATGAAATTTACAGCCTCAAAATACCTGCTGGAGGATCAGCCATCAATCTTTTCTGACTTGATGGCAATGAGTTTGAGGGTTTTGGGGTTCTTTTACTGTTTTCCAAGGGTATGTCTGTTGTTCGGTACTGTCAAATCAATACCAATCCATGGTGACCCCACAGAATGGAGTAGACCTGTCCAGTAGGATTTGTAAGGCTGTTACCTTTACAGAGGAGCCATAGAGTGCAGTGGTTAAGAGCTCAACCGCTGACCGAATCGGTAGGAGTTTGACTCACCAGCCTCTCCATGGGAGAAGGATGTGGCAACCGCTCCTGTAAAGATATGCATCCTCGAAATCCTATGGGGCAGTTCAGCTGTGCTCTGTAGGGTCAAGTCAATTATGAGTCAGAATCGACTCAAAGGCAACAAGTCTTCATCTTTTCGGAAGCAGACTGAGTGCTTCACCGTTGTGCTAGTAGAGCTCCTTCAGGCCGATTCTGTTGTTCCGTGTGGTCAAGTCAGCCGCAGCTCGTAGCAACACCATAAACAACAGATCGGACCCCTGTCCTGTCCTGTGCCATCCTCACCGCCTCCTAAGCGCCTGAGCCCATTGTGAGTCCCTGTGTCAGTTGATCTTGTCAAGGATCTTCCTCTCCTGCTCTGACCCTCCACCTTTCCAAGCACGGTGCCCTTCTCCAATGACTGGCCCCTCCTGGGTGCTGGGAAACAGCTGTGAACTGGGCAAGCCGCTTGCCCCCATGCTCGTGGGCCTGTCTGTGAAGAATTTCAGTGTGCGCACACATCCCCTGGGATCTGTGTTAAAGTGCAGACCTGGATTCTGTCCACCTGGGTAGATGCTCAGGTCCTGCTTGACTAACAGGCTCCCAGGTGATGCTGCTGGATCCAGGACACAGTCTGCATACAAGGGCAGAGGAATCTGTGTAAAAATAGCCTGTCAAGTCTATACAATTATGCAATTGGATAAACCTCACCTTGACCTTTCAGCTATCTCCAGTCTACCTCTGCTCCCTTTTATAGTTTAATTTCTTGATTTAAAACAGCCAAGCAAACATTTGTTATATTTATATTTTCCACAATTAAAAAAAGACAGTGTCTAGATAGCATGTGTTCTTTACGGTAACTCTGGCTCAGGGTTTCTCAACCTTGACACTGTTCATATCTGGACTCAGTGGTTGTGGTGGAGCCAGCTTGTGGATATTAAGTTGCCTCTCCACCCTCTGCTCACTAGATGCCAGTGGCATCTCCCACCCTCACTGTAACAACCAGAAATGTCTCCAGCGTTAGGCGTCCCCGTGGCGGCTTATGTGGCGTAGTCCCTTAGCAAGTTGCGCTGGGAACCCAAAGGCTGTGCTGCTCTGGTGGTTCAAATCTACCAGCATCCCAAGAAGAAGATAGGCAGTGTCTTCCCGTTGCAATCCGCAGCCTTTGGGAGCAGGAGAGTCACCATGAATCAGAAGAAGCTGGATGGATGGCAGTGTGTTGAGTTACCACCTCACCGACCGGTGGTCTCAGGCGTTAATGACAGCTAACCTCTGCACGTTGTTTACCAGGTACTATTCTATGAACAGCGCTGTTGTTGCCTGCTGTTGAGGTGTCCCTTCTGATTTATGGTGACACCACATGCACTGAAACAAAGGGTTCCCAGGCTCTGCACCACCCCAGGGCTGGTTGCTGATCCTATCACTGTGCTCCAAGATTATCCTTGAGTGATTTTTAGAAGTAGATTGTCAGGCCTTGCCCCTCAACTGCCTTAGTCTAGAAGCACCTCTGAACTCTGTTAGCACCATGCTAACACACAAACCTTCACTGGCAGCTAAGTGGTGGCTGTACTTGAATCACATTGCTCATGAGTCATACAAACCGGGGTCTCCTGAGTGGAGGGCAGTAAGTCTACCACCACAGAACCACTACTGCTCCCACTAAAAGTGTCACTTCTCTTAACACTTTGAAGTATGATTACTGCCCCATCCAAAGATAAGGAAACTGAGGCCCGGGACGATGCAGTGCCTTGCCTATAACCACGCACCAGTGATTAGCAGACCCAGGATTTAAGTCACAGTTGTCTTGCCAGAGTTTGCTTTCATTTTTATTATTATTATCATCATCATCATCATTTTATATAAATTGTTTACAAAGCTCACGTGCATTGTGTTTCACACTATTTTTCATTCACATTGTGTTTCATACAATCATTCCCATGCATTAGGGTTTTTGGATTTTTTGTTTTGTAGGGTTTTTTCCATGCATTAGGTTTCATAAAATTAATCTCCATTGGACCTTTTCAGGTCCCTGCTTTCTTACACTTTCTACAGTCCCTGCAGGTGGAGGACACCTCTAAGGGAGTTTCTTTCATTCTTTTTGTCTTCAAAGCTGCAACAGGTTATTGACAGCGTTCAGACTCTCATCGCCAATAAAAGTCTCTGGGAAAATGGAAGTAAAAGTGAAATTGCATCTGTAGCTACATCCATCCTCCAAAAGGTGGAACTGAAGGTTCTGGAAACTGCTTTGAAAGACCCAGAGCAAAAGGTCCAGAAAATCTACAACAGTACCGTGGGTAAGATGACTTTAGGGGCTGGCTCCCAGGGAGCCCTGGCCACTAGGTGAGGTCTAAACACTTAACCAACACAAACACACTGTCCCAGTACATTGATATAAAATCCTAGAAAATACTGACTAATCTACAGTGGCAGAAAGCAAATGAGTAGCTGCCAGGGGTGGGAAGGGAAGGAGGATGACAAAAGGGCATGAGGAATGTTTAGGAAAACTGTTGGAGGGATGTTTATTATCTTGACTGTCATGATGATACCTGGGCACATACACCCCACAAAACTCAAATTCAAATGTGAGCACATCGTTGTATCTGAATATACCACAATAAGGAGGGGGTTTTAAAAAAATAAAAAGTGTCCAGTAGTTTCCATCCCTGGTTACAGATTTTGGTTTAAAGATTTTATTTTTAAAATCTAGACCCTATCCTTCTCTGAAGGGAGTAATCCATGGAGAGTTCAATGCTGTCGCAAAGGTCACCCCTCCAGATGGTTCAAGTCCATCAGCAGCTATGAAGGAGAAAGACGGGCAGGCTCCTCTCATGAGATTTATAGTCTCCAAAGCCCAAGAGAAGGGCAGCTACAAACTGGTTCTAACTCCTACAGCAGCGACTTAGTTAATTAGGTTCTTCTCTCTGAGAAGTTCCTGAGTAAAGGAGTTTAGAAGTCTGGTTCTCACTATAGGGACATACAGTCATTGACTTAACCAGTTCTTCCTGTTGAACCTCTAGTTATTTTCCCATTTTTCATTATCTGTGTGGTCATGAACTTTCTACCTTCTGGCTAAATGTGCCCTCTCCCCTTCTGACTGTTTTTGGAGAATAAATTTCTAGAAATGGAAGCAGAGCTTCCAAGATGACAGGTCAGTGAGATGAAATTTGGTTTCAGAAGGTAGAGCCTTACCTCCTGGACCAGTTTCCTCGCTTGTGTAATGGATCCTCATGAGGTGTAGAAGACGGTAATATTGACACAGAGGAGACCCTTAGCCCAGTGCATGGCCCACCCCAGACATACAGTAGATGCAGGCTGCACAGTAGATGCACAGTTTGGAAGCTTCTTACTATATCAGCTTTCCTACTGCTTCTCTTACCAGCTGTTGAAACTCGAGTTGTTAAAAACAACTGCTCTGAGGAAAAAAAGGTCTTCAGCTTGCAGGCCCAGATGAACTCAGTGGACATCCACTGCAATGACGTCATCGAGGAAAACACACAAGGTATCACTAACGGCTGCCCTTCCTTCACACAGGGTGACATCATTATGTGAGGCGGGGAGTGGATTTAACACCCTTAGACTATGTCGTTGAAGACTTAACTTTTCGAGGAAAACACTTCCAAAACTGGAGGGGTTTTGGTTTTCTATACAGAATGGCGTGGAAACAGACATCCTGAGTAAGAAAGAATTGGGGGGCTCCACTCGCCCTGCAGCTCACGATGAGCAAAGAGAGCTGTAGGTAAGCTCATCGCTGAGTTCGTGGTGAGCATCTGTCAGTGACCACGAGGTCTGGGTAGCACTGATCATTTGTGTGTCTAAATACTAACTTGGAGCTTGGAGCCCCATCCACTGGGCAGACTGAGGGAGAAAGTTCTGTGATTTGCATCCATAAATAATGCAGCCAACAAAACACTAAGAAGTCATTCTACCCTGTAACAGATAGTCTTGTCATGAGTTAAGACCAAGTCAAAAGCTACAGGGGAAAAAATCTACTATATACAAAGATCCATACTAATTAACAAATGCACACGCGCGCACACACACACACACACACACACACACACACACACACACACAAATCAGCTTTTATAGACCTTATATCTACTTGATGGAGATAGTGTAGTACTTAAACATTCATCTATTTAATTGTCCCTAGTAAATGTCACACACATTCCTAAATGGTTTAAATTATTGGACAATGTCATCAATATCACATGCAGGTAAAATACTACTGAAGATCATTCAAAGATGGTTAGAACAGGACATAGATAGGGAACTGCCAGAACTTCAAGCAGGATTTAGAAGAGGCTTATGGCACCAGGAATGTCACTGCTGGTGTCAGATAGATCCTAGCTGAAAGTAAAGAATACCAGAATAATGTCTATTTATGCTGTGTTGGTTATGCAAAGACATTTGACTGTGTGGATCAAAAGAATTTATGGATAACATTGAGAAGAATAGGAATCTCAAAGCACTTAACTGTGCTCATGTGAAACCTCTACCGGGATCTGTGCGAACTGAGCAAGGGAACATTACTTTGTTTATACTTAGAAAGGAAATGTGTCAGTGTTGCATTCTCTATACATAATTATTCAATCTGTATGCTAAGCAAATTCTTGA